TTATCGTGTCTTTTAAAGTACATACGAATTAGTAAATTTATTGTATTTCCAATATTGCCGCTATATTAATTATTTATAATATAATGACTCTGACATTTATTTACCACATGCACATGTTATATCTGCATGGTACTGATGGAATATGGATGTCGAAGTGTGGTCTCAATATTATACATTTATCACATGCCTTCTCATGCGATATCAAAACTTTCGCCCACGAGGCTTGCCGAGTTAGCGAAAGTTTCGATATTTCCCGAGGCTTGCCGAGGGTTATATCGACATTTTCAATCACGAGGCTTGCCGAGTTTTGAAAATGTTGATATCGCATGAGAAGGCATGTGATTAATGTTTTATCACACTTTCTTTGGAGCCAAATTTGGCCGAGAAAGCAGAATTTGATCAAACGTTAGTTATAAATCTCACCAAAGCAAAACTAGACATGTCGAACTTATTTATGTTTACAATGTCCAAGCTATATATAGCTCTCGATAAGTTAGTATTTTAGATATTAAAGTTACAATACGTGAAATTAGAATCTCACGTTTCACATTTATGACACAGTGAATGCTGTGTGCCGCGCTGAATTTGCTTTGTACTGCTACCTAGTGCATGCAATATTAATGTGTTTTCCGCCTATGGGTCTTGTACTTATGAGTCTAGAATATTCCGCCGCGAGAGCGTTTGATACGTAATTACATCCTGCAAATCAATTGATGTGAGGTGATTCTAATACTTTATTTCTATTAGATATTTTTAGAGTCATTAAAACTGTAGATGCAGTATAATGTATAGAACATCCGTTTAAGTGTTGATTATACATCACAGTCCTTATCGTATAATCTGTATCTGCGATAAGGTGAAAGAATTTCCTGGTTGTTAAATTTGAATAGAGCTGTCATGGCGCCATGATTGTCTATTTATCAGTCCACATTATACACTGCACACCCTAATTTACACCAACAATATTATCGTCCGTCTTGATTCTTGATTGTCTGTTATTTCAGAATGATTTAATCAATGCAACTTGTAATCGTTGACTTAGAATTTTATCAAGTATTCTGCTTAGTTCTTACTCAGTATACATCTTTACTTGCCATTATTTGCCATTATTTGGAGCCAAATTTGGCCTGGAAAGCAGAATTTGATCAAACGTTAGTTATTAATCTCGCCAAAGCAAAACTAGACATGTCGAACTTATTTAAATATTTATGTTTATAATGTCCAAGCTATATATAGCTCTCGATAAGTTAGTATTTCAGATATTAAAGATACAATACGTGAAATTAGAATCTCGCGTTTCACATTTATGACACAGTGAATGCTGTGTGCCGCGCTGAATTTGCTTTGTACTGCTACCTAGTGCATGCAATATTAATGTGTTTTCCGCCTATGGGTCTTGTACTTATGAGTCTAGAATATTCCGCCGCGAGCGCGTTTGATACGTAATTACATCCTGCAAATCAATTGATGTGAGGTGATTCTAATACTTTATTTCTATTACTATTAGATATTTTTAGAGTCATCAAAACTGTAGATGCAGTATAATGTATAGAACATCCGTTTAAGTGTTGATTATACATCACAGTTCTTATCGTATAATCTGTATCTACGATGAGGTGAAAGAATTTCCTAGTTCTTGTATTTGAATAGAGCTGTGGGGTCATAATTAGTGTCTATTTATCAGTCCACATTATACACTACACTCCCTAATTTACATCAACAATATTATCGTCCGTCTTGATTCTTGATTGTCTGTTATTTCAGAATGATTTAATCAATGCAACTTGTAATCGTTGACTTAGAATTTTATCAAGTATTCTGCTTAGTTCTTAGTCAGTATTCATCTTTACTTGCCATTATTTGCCATTATCTGCTTCGAGCTAGAAATTATCTGAACTGGAAATTATCAGAACATTTGTAATATTCAAATGTATCTCTTCAACATTTTACTTTTAGAACGCAGTACTCCACCAGCCTATAACCACCCTGGTCATGGCCAGGTAGTTCACCCGTACTGTTACCAATATTGAATTGGTCTAATGAATGGCAGCACATTAATCATCGGACCTGTTTGCCCCAGTGCCCAGACTAATTTATAACCAGATTAGCTGATTAAGTTACGTCATTCGTCCCTTGATATATTTATATAAATAATATATTTTATAGGATGTTTTTATTGCACTTATTTGCACTAACTAAAATTTAGTTAAAACTAGTCCTGGGATAGAATTTCCGCTCTTTATTGTACAGAATCTACTTATAAGTCTATTTATCAGTCTGTTTATAGATCAGCCACGAATTTCGCAAGCTAATCTAGGCGAAACCGGTTTGGAAAAGCCAAGTATAATTTCTGCACAATTTCTATATGGAATATGGCTCAAAAAAGGGATCAGAGGGGGTTAAAATTGAGGTCTGAAATGGCTGAAATCTGGCTTTGTTTTGTGTGTTTTCTTCGTTCGAATTAATCAAACATCGTCTAGTGTTTACTATTTTTTGTTAGGGTGACTGTAGTTTGTTCTGACACTTCCTTTTTAATTTCAAGTAAGCGATTAAGGAAATTAATTATCCTGATTGATTGTATCGCTGACAAGTACCAAAACTTTGTGAAACTTTCAAGTCTGCTTGTAAACTTTGATCTCGTTTTCAATAACCTTAAGTCACTTAAAGCTCGTACAAGCCAGGGAGTTTTTACTTTGTTTCATCATCCGAAGCCTAATTAGGCTTTGAACTATAAAGTGCAATAAAAAGGGAACAGCTTGAAAAAGTTTTACAACAAAAAATTGTATTTTGCTTGACGCATCTCAAACACAAGGAAATATTTTCAAAATCAGGTATAAATATAAATGTGTCCTTGTTCTGGAAAGTTTATCTGTTCATTGCATTAACGGTCATAGGGTAAAGCACATAATTTTGTCATTTTTTGGCAATTTTCCGACTGCCTGATATAAACCATGGGTTTTAACCTCGTCTGAAATTCCGATTTAGATGAAACCTCCACCATGTTATAGTAGACAGTCTAGGCAAGTTCTAACACAAAAATGATCGAAATTGCTTGGGTTGAAGAAGTTCAAACAAATTATTTTGAAAAAATGACAAAATTAGGTGACTTTACTTAATTTTGTCACCCCGAACCTAATTTTGTCACTTGAAGATTGTGCAAAAAGTAAACGTTTCTCGGTATTTTAGACTACCTGGATGCATCATTCGAGCGCTTTTTTACCAACATTGACCTCAAAAATCCCAAAGATATGATGTTTTCATAGTTTTGTAGCTTGATGAAAAGATGACACTTTTTGGGTATCTTATCTTAGAAAATAGCCCCAAATGCCCCTGAAACCACTGGCATCTTGAAAAACGATTGGTTCTAGGCCTAGGTTGAAATTTTCATGTCTGTAGATAGATCACTTGCTTAGTAGTTTCATCAAATATTTTTTTAGTCATTTTAGATTGAAAAAATCAGATTATCCACCTAATATTTCTTGGTGAAAATATATGCTATTATAAGTGTTATGCTATTATAAGTGCCTTATACATATCCTATGGGCAAAAAAACTTCAGAATAGTTGTATAAGGCCATTTTCAACACAATCTGTGATTTACAAGAAATTTGAGAAAGGTCGATTTTTTTGACAAAATTAGGTACTTTTGGCAAAATCGAACCTAATTTTGTCACCCTCTGTAACTTGAACAATAATTGCGCTAGAGACTTGAAAATTTGTACGTATACTTCTGCTGTAGAAGATATTTGAAATATGCAATGGCATGAAGCTAGCTCAATTACTTTTGAAAAAGCAATAAATCAAAATTTTGAAAATTCCTTAAGAAAACCTTAAGGATCTTATTTATTTTTCGGGTTAACAGTTTCGCCTTCATTTTTGACACAGATGCAAAAGAGCTAGAAACTTAAACTTTGTACGAGCAGTTTCAGCAAAGTCTAAGCTTTCTTTTTATACACAATCCTTTTCTTTCAAGCTGAAATTCCGAGCCGAGGCAGTTTTTCAGAGCAAAATGACAAAATTAGGTACCCTGACAAAATTATGTGCCTTACCCTAGACTACTTCAGGTTGTTGATATAAATCTTTATTTAAATCAGCACCTCGCAGTAGTACAACAGTTGTTGAGAGTGGGCTCCTTGTTCCTATGGGAATATCGGGCTCTCTCTGAGTAACTGATTGATTTTTCATGCCCCCGGGTGAGAGCCAGTGCTCCCCATCGGGGCATGTAATATCAATTCTGCTTTCCTGCTAAATTTGGCTCGAAAGTGTGATAATAGAATTTATTGTTCCATTTATTTATACCCACTGGTAATTAAATATTTAGATATTTAAATTTGGAAAGTTTGTGTATTTTAATGTTATTAATCAGTTATTAATGCAGGAAAGTTTGTAATGTTAACACGGAGTAAAAGATCCTGCACAGTTGCTGTTAAAGTAAAGTGTAACATAGATTTAATTCCAATCAAAAAGGAAATAAAAACTGAACAGGAGGAAGTGACTGGTTATGGTATATCACATGGTTTCATTTGTCCGAAATGTGAAGCTCACTTCCTTTATGATGATTTCTTTGTGGAACATATCAGAGAACATCATGGCGAAACAATCAATGATATGTCTACTAGAAATGTCTTGTTAAATTCTTTACAATCATCAGTCAGGTTGGCCAAAGAAAATACTTCTCCTGTTAGAAAAGCTTTTAAATGTGACGATTGTTCTTATACCTGTACTGAGAACACTGATCTTGTGAAACATGTAGGTATTCACACGGGAGAGAAACCCTACAAGTGCAAGGAATGTTTATATTCTAGTACTCAGAAAAGTGATCTCACATTACATATGAGGACTCACACGGGAGAGAAACCCTACAAGTGCAAGGAATGTTCATATTCTAGTGCTCGGAAAGGTGATCTTACATTACATATGAGGACTCACACGGGAGAGAAACCCTTCAAGTGCAAGGAATGTTCATATTCTAGTGCTCGGAAAGGTGATCTCACATTACATATGAGGACTCACACCGGAGAGAAGCCCTACAAGTGTAAGGAATGTTCATTTGCTTGCTCTTTTAAATCAATTCTTGTCAGACACCAACGTACTCACACAGGAGAGAAACCCTACAAGTGCAAGGAATGTTTATATTCTAGTGCTCGGAAAGGTGATCTCACATTACATATGAGGACTCACACCGGAGAGAAGCCCTACAAGTGTAAGGAATGTTCATTTGCTTGCTCTTTTAAATCAATTCTTGTCAGACACCAACGTACTCACACCGGAGAGAAGCCCTACAAGTGCAAGGAATGTTCATATACTTGTTCTGTTAAATCAAGTCTTATCATACACCAACGACGTTCTCACACGGGAGAGAAACCCTACAAGTGCAAGGAATGTTCATATACTTGCTCTGTTAAATCAAGTCTTATTAAACACCAACGTACTCACACGGGAGAGAAACCTTACAAGTGTAAGGAATGTTCATATGCTTGCTCTGTTAAATCAAGTCTTATTACTCACCAACTTACTCACACGGGAGAAAAACCCTTCAAGTGCAAGGATTGTTCATATTGTAGTGCTCGGAAAGGTCATCTCAAGAAACATATGAGGACTCACACGGGAGAGAAACCCTTCAAGTGTAAGGAATGTTCATATTCTAGTGCTCAGAAAGGTGATCTCAAGAAACATATGAGGACTCACTCAGGAGAGAAACCCTACAAGTGTAAGGAATGTTCATACACTTGCTCTACTAAATCAAATCTTAATAAACATCAACGTACTCACACAGGACAGGAACTATAAATTTGCCAGGAATGTTCTTATACAACTTTTATACTTGTTCTGATCAGTCACACTTTATTAGACAACAGTGTATTCACGGGTAAAGAATTTCAGTTTACTTTCCCTTTTATATAATTAGTTCACCAACGAGGTATGATCAATGATTGCATATATTATATAGTCTAGAAATTATCTCCACATATGTTTAGAGCTATGTTTGAAAGCAATTTTTCTGATTTCAATTACAAAATTATGCAGTTTGTTCCACAAATGAATGAGAAATTAAGCTTTTGTCAATATTAAGTAAATCATAATCTTCGATATATCTAACCATTAATTGAAAACCCGTTGATTTTATCGTGTCTTTTAAAGTACGAATTAGTAAATTTATTGTATTTCCAATAGATGTGGATACTGGCGGGGAGGTGATAATTGTTTGTTTACATTAATAGTGAGCACATGTTAAGCAGGCTGAGGAGGTGATAATTGTTTGTTTACATTTTAGGTCGAGCACATGCACATGTTAAGCAGGCTGAGGAGGTGATACTTTTTTTGTATTATAGAAGGTTTGTAACACTTGTAACGCTATATAGTTATTATTCATATTATAATGACTCTGACATTTATTTACCACATTTTATATCTGCATGGTACTGATGAAATATGGATGTCGAAACGTGGTCTCAAATCTCAATACTAGAATTTATTGTTCCATTCATTTATACCTGCTGGTAACTAAATATGTAGATATTTAAAATTGTTTGTGTTTTTTGATGTTATTAATCAGTTATTAATGCAGGAAAGTTCATAATGTTAAAACGGAGTAAAAGATCCTCAACAGCTGCTGTTGAAATAAAGAGTAACATAAATTTAATTCCGATCAAAAAGGAAATAAAAACTGAACAGGAGGAAGTGACTGAAATATCACATGGCATTATTGTATTTCCAATATTGCTGCTATATTAATTGTTTATAATATAATGACTCTGACATTTATTTACCACATGTTATATCTGCATGGTACTGATGGAATATGGATGTCGAAACGTGGTCTCAATACTAGAATTTATTGTTCCATTTATTAATACCCACTGGCAATTAAATATGTAGATATTTAAAATTGGAAAGTTTGTGTATTTTGATTTCATTAATCAGTTATTAATGCAGGAAAGTTTGTAATGTCAACACGGAGTAAAAGATCCTCTACGGTTACTGTTAAAGTAAAGAGTAACATAAATTTAATTCCGATCAAATAGGAAATAAAAACTGAACAGGAGGAAGTGACTGGTATATCACATGGTTTCATTTGTCCGAAATGTGAAGCTCACTTCCTGTATGATGAGTTCTTTGTGGAACATATCAGAGAACATCATGGTCAAACTATCAAATCTACTAGAAATGTCTTGTTAAATTCTTTACGATCATCAGTCAGGTTGGGCAAAAAAAATACTTCTCCTGTTGGGAAAGCTTTTAAATGTGACGATTGTTCTTATACATGTACTGACAGCAGTGGTCTTGTGAAACATTTACGTATTCACACAGGAGAGAAACCCTACAAGTGCAAGGAATGTTTATATTGTACAGTGCTCAGAAAGGTGATCTCAAGAAACATATGAGGACTCACACGGGAGAGAAACCCTATAAGTGCAAGGAATGTTCATATTCTAGTGCTCAGAAAGGTAGTCTTATATGATCTCACATAACATATGAGGACTCACACCGGAGAGAAACCCTACAAGTGTGAGGAATGTTTATATTCTAGTGCTGGGAAAGGTGATCTCAAAAAACATGTGAGGACTCACACGGGAGGGAAACCCTACAAGTGCAAGGAATGTTCATATTCTTGTGCTCTGAAAGGTAATCTCACATTACATATGAGGACTCACACCGGAGAGAAACCCTACAAGTGCAAGGAATGTTCATTTGCCTGCTCTTTTAAATCAAGTCTTATCAGACACCAACGTACTCATACGGGACAGAAACTCTAGAATTGCCATGAATGTTCTTATACAGCTGTTATACTTGTTCTGATCAGTCACACTTTATTAGACACCATTGTATTCACGGGTAGAATATGTCAGTTTACTTCCAATTTTATATTATTAATTTACCAACGAGGTTTGATCAATGATCGCATTTATTGTTTCGAAATAATCTCCACAAATGTTTAGAGTTGGGGGAGAGTTATGTTTGAAAGCAATTTTTCTGATTTTAATTACAAAATTGTGCAGTTTGTTCCACAGATGAATGAGAAATTAAGCTTTTGTCGATATTAAAGTGAATCATAATCTACGATATATCTAACCATTAATTGCAAACACATTGATTTTGTCGTGTCTTTAAAGTACGATTTTGTAAATTTATCGTGTTTCCAATAAGCTATATTTATTATTTATAATATAATAACTCTAACATTTATTTACCGCATTTTATATCTGCATGGTACTGAGGAAATATGGATGTCGAAGCGTGGTCTCAATACTAGAATTTATTGTTCCATTTATTTATACCCACTGGTAATTAAATATGTAGATATTTAAATTTGGAAAGTTTGTGTATTTTGATGTTATTAATCAGTTATTAATACAGGAAAGTTTGTAATGTCAACACAGAGTAAAAGATCCCCTACGGTTACTGTTAAAGTAAAGAGTAACATAAATTTAATTCCTATCAAAAAGGAAATAAAAACTGAACTGGAGGAAGTGACTGGAGTATCACATGGTTTCATTTGTCCGAAATGTGAAGCTCACTTCCTTTATGATGATTTCTTTGTGGAACATATCAGAGAACATCATGGTGAAACAATCAATGATATGTCTACTAGAAATGTCTTGTTAAATTCTATACGATCATCAGTCAGGTTGGGCAAAGAAAGTACTTCTCCTGTTGGAAAAGCTTTTAAATGTGACGATTGTTCTTTTACCTGTACTGAGAACAGTGATCTTGTGAATCATTTAGGTATTCACACGGGAGAGAAACCCTACAAGTGCAAGGAATGTTTATATTCTAGTGCTCGGAAAGATCATCTCACATTACATATGAGGACTCACACCGGAGAGAAACCCTACAAGTGTAAGGAATGTTTATATTCTAGTGCTGGGAAAGGTGATCACAGTGGGGCTCGCGTAAAGGGCATGATGACATTTGGTTTTTTTGCCCTTTTATGCCTCTGGCCACATCTTGGTGGTGTCAATTTGGATTAAATCGTCAATTATGACTGATTTAAGTGAAATTGGACAACTTTCACTACTTTTTTGGGCAAAAAATCAATTTTTTCGAAAATTTGGCACTTTCTGTCACACAAAAAGCATCTTTTTTGACTAGCAGTTTTAAGATTTCATCGAATTTTAAGCGGTTTCTGTCCCATTTTTCTGCTTTTTTGTATGGAAATGGTCATCAATCATGCTGATGTGATTGTTTAAGGGTATTTCAGAAAGGAGAACCATAAAAACTATGCAATATGACAAAAACATAAGAAAAATCCTATGAAATCAGAGTTGCCCCTGGATTTTCCAAGCTCAAAATGCCAGATTTTGGCTATTTTTGGCTCATATGCACTATTTTTCCATCCAAATATTGCTTATTCCAATTGAACTTTGCTGGTATTAGCATAAAATATCGAAGTGTGCACCAAAAAGCTATGAAATAAATGAAAAAATCAGTTTTTAATCTATCAGTTTTCATTTTTCGCGCTATTTTTTTTTTATGAAAATCTTTTCAAAATTTACATACAATATAACATGTGGCGCAAAATAAAAACAAAATATAACTGATTGCGATCTCTAAAGGACAGATGTATGTAAATTTCAAAGGGAAACCAGAACGCAGTAAAATTGTAGTCGAAACCACACCGCACAAGCCTAGTCCCTGGTAAATGAAAATCAATCAAATAATATGTTGATAAAAAATCATATCCCATCAGTCCTTCTCGGAGCTTACGATCTTATTGTTCCTTATAACATGAACTCGCTGAGGCTCCAATTCCCGTTTCTGCTTAACTTCAAGAACTAACTTCCTGAAGGCAGCTCTCTGCTCGGCTGATCGGTCGGGGCTGATGTACACTGAGTCATACCCCTCCACTTCTCTTAGTTTTCTCGCTTTGCTCAACACTTGCCGCACATGATCTGAGCCGCTGAGAGTGAACTTGATAGGTTTAACGGCTGGTCCTCCATCTGATACAGTTCTCCCCATCCTACAGCAAGAAACGATTCGAGGTTTCTCATCTATGTTTTCTAGTACCTCAAGCACTCTCTTTTCCAGGATTTCTTCACTCTTTTCTGGTAGACCGTAGATGACCAGATTTTGACTACGATCCTCTTCCTCGGAGGCACGTTTCAGAGCAGCTTTCATTTTCTTAGGCGCTAGCGCCTTGCTGCATGAATTCTTCACAACTGACGACCAGGCTTTGAGTTCGCTTTTCACTGTCGTCTGAACAGAGGTCAAATCTTCACTTTTCTTCTCAAGCAATTGTCCTTGCAGTTTAATCACAGTGTTCTGATCTGCAATCTTTTCGTCCTTCAGTTGGTCGATTTCATCTTGTAGTTTGGTGGCTGAAAACAACAGCGGTGAACAATAACTGTCAAGAATGTCGATAAAAGTTTCCATCCAATCACACAGCGTAGCCTTGGTGATCTGAGGCTTGTTGAGCGTTTCTTTACGTAACACATTGGATTTCTGAACACCTGCCGCTTGACGCATATCGTTGAGTAGCATAATCTGAGCACCCAAAATCTGTTCAGCATACATTGATCTGAATTTGAGTGTAGAGTAATTCAACGCTATTTCATTGTCAAGATTCTCCAAGTATTTGTTAACCATGATGTACAATGTACACGCAGGGCCAGTTTAATATACACGAGTATATTATCTGCTACACAGTGAGAGCTGTTTAAACCGACGCAAAAGCAATTAACTGATAAGACAATATTTTGACGCGATTTTTCACCTCAGGCTCGTACCAAAAATGGGTCATAATTTTTTTTCCGAAGCGTTCCGAAGCCAAATCTTCTGGGTTCTGCTAG